GTAATACTATAAATTACATTTTATTATTAATTATATTTTCATGTTAATTAACATGGAAATAATTGTGCGTTTTGTAAAAGAAAGTTCCTATAATATGTTCTCCCTAAAGTCAAGGAAAAGTTAAAGAAAATGGCAATAGAAATAACACTTATATTCAAAACCTTATTGGTTTGGTTTGGTTTGGTTTGTTTTATGGCATATCAACCTCAATGGTTTATTTGATTCCAACATTTATTACTGGTAATATTTTTTTTCAAAATGTGTTGCTGGTAATAATGTATTGCTGCTAATATTTTCGAAAAATATATTGCTGTTATTAAAACTTATTTTTATACATTCACGGTGTTTTGACCCCAGTTTAGGGTTTAACTATTTGCCCATAGATGGGACCCTAACAGTTGCTACCACCCCAGGTCAGAGTGGACCTAGTAACAAGAGCAATTGAGAGATGGTTCCATGCTCCTCAAAACCTCCTGATCAGAGGCCTTGCTGCCGGATGTAGTTTATCGTCATACTCAGGACGATATTCAACATCAGGAAAAGAGAGCTGAAATTCCTTGCACAGTTAATGAGGAAGGCTTGAAAAACTTAACCCTCACGTGGCATACTGAGGACAAGAGAGATGCGGGAAGAAAACGATCCACTTACTTGATGAGATTGTGTGAACGGATCAGGAGGGTAAGAGATTTAGTAATGGGAGAAAATTTCCAAGAAACAAGAGACATGGCATATAGAAGAAGACATTTTCTATATACCATTTCTTAAACTGGAATAAAGTGTCGCTGCCATCACTTGTGTTTGAACTTAGATCGCCGGTGAGCAAAAACGGGCGATCCCATTATTGAATTAAGTAGACCACGTGACCATAGAGAAAATGCATATATGGGAGGTAGCGTATGTCTAATTGATCGCTATTTCTCCTCTATCCTTTATTACTATACGGACCGCTATACTATTCAATATACTATTTCTCGATTCAGATCATTATACGAGTTACTAGTCTAGCGAATATTATCGAACAAGTACTATTAGTGCGAATGATATTCGAAGGTGTCTGACACCAGTATTGTTCAACGGCGTTACTATAGTTATATATACGATTACAAAGTCTATATTACAACGAGCATTGCGAAAGTGACAACAAGTATCCGTTGGCATTACAAAAATGTCAAATGAGTGTTCGTTGACATAAAAAAATCATTGATTTTATTTACTCTACTCAATGCACTTACGTATACATGACCATCACTCAGGGGTTTGAAGAAAATATCAGAAATCATTCCCAAATCAAGATACGAAAACAAATTCCTACGAAACTATCCTCGAATCAAAAGACTGAAAACATTCTATAAATTAAATATTTCAAATACAAAAATTTGAACAGAAGAAAATATGCAAATTAACATAAATAAATAGGAAAATAAAATAAAAAAATATGCAAATTAACGTAAATAAATAGGAAAATAAAATAAATAGGAAAATAAAATAAATATACGAATTAAGTTAAAAAAAATATAAGCAAACGAAAGTTCTTTATTATGAATAACTTAGCGTATTAGTCCTAAACAGAACTAGCAATGACTAGTTTTCACCTATTTTCTGTTTTTGTAATCGCACCAAAGTTGACTATATAGATACAGAAGCCGCGCAAGCAGTAATGATATATGATTTGAATGATTGTATTAAGGTGTGAGACTGGCAGTCAACATACAGTTATGATTCCTATGTTTACACTGGCTATTTATAGAGCTTCAATTGGCACAATCATTTACTCTTATGTTAGTAGCAAATCCGACAGACCCGACAAAATAAAACTGGCAATTGCTCTTGAAAAGGGAGTTCAATCAGTGGCTAACTGGGCAAATTATGGCTTGTAAATTTTAACGCCTTCAAAACAAAACTGCTTTCATTTAATCACCACAGAGAAATTGTTCTGCTTGCGATCATCATGGCTGATGCTAAACTCCCGGCGAGGAACATTTCTACACATTCTAGGTCTCATGTTTTCCCCAGGCATAAAGTGGAGTGGCTATATTGAATGGATTGTTAGGCCTTCTGCAAGAACGTTGGTTCATTATGTCGTACCATAAATGTTTCCTCGTCAGAATCCATCTTGCACATTTATAAATCTACCATTCATCCATGCATTGAATACTGTTGCTATTTCTGATGTGGTGCTCCTGCCATACGTCTCAAAAAGGTCCGAAATTCGCCGATGGATATATTTTCTTTATTAGTAAATTCGCCATGTAAAACTTTCGAATTGCTTGTATGGCTTAGTTTGACACATGGCTACAAATAAGGGACACCTCGTGAAATCACGATTGTCTGTAAATGGCGTGCTGATCATTATACCAGTTGAGAATTACTCAGCTTAACTTAGATATATCTTAATGTCATACGCATGAGATACGCAGTGAGGATCAACTAAGGCTTTTGTTAACTATTACACAACAAAGAAGAGATTATATATATATATATATACAAAAGTTTGAGCGAGGCCGAATTAAACAAGTGGATCAACTGTGTGCAAATATTAATGAAAATTGGTAGCATGCAGCTCTTCTCAATGACAGCCATAGCTGCCATTGAGTCTTAGTCACACTCAGTAAAGCCGGCCTTGTGGTCAACGAGTGGAAAAATGTGGCAGTTGATCGTCGACCACTTGAGCAAGATGGCTCAATCGCATGTTTCATATGTCTAAAAGTTTGCAAAAAAAGCCTCGGAAGACACATGCGTGTCCATAAAAGTTGAGCACCTCTTTATTTTACTGAGCCCTCATTTGTCGTACACGATGGGAGAATCCATCATATATATATATATATATAATATACATAATATATATATATAATATACATAATATACATAATATATAATATACATAATATATACAAGGAAACGTAGCAAATTCTATCTGCAGCATAATCGTAGAAAACACTGCTATCATAGCCTCATATACATTTAAAAGACCGAAAATAATAGAAGCCTTAATAATAATAAAAAAAGAAAAAAATAACACTCAGTAATATTAAGTATGAATGCGGACACAATGTGCTGACCGTGTTTGGAAAATTAAAAAAAAACATTCCCATAACTCTAGATATAAGTATATACAAAAAAATCTAAAAATCCAGTTAAAAATAAGAATAAAAAAGAATACATGATAATTCCTAAAAGAATAGCCGAAAGCTCAAGAATATATAGAACATTCAGACCATATACACATGGCCAGAATATAAAACATTTATAATAATACAAGAAAAATTGAAAGAAGAGATTAATTGCAGGACATCATTGTCAATCGTCTTTAATGAAACTTGTATAAAAGAGGGATTGGTGCTGAGGAAAACAATTTTATATATATATATATATATATATATATATATATATATATATAAGTATATGATTGGTGTATACGGAATAAATTCCGATAACCAACAATTACTATTCTTAAAAGAGAGCGCAATCCAGAACAGAGTGAATATAATTATTTATTTAAAAATTATAACATAAATATGCTATAGAATCCCTACAAAAATAGCCATTTTCTTTCAAACCTCTGGTGTTTTATCAAGTGCTGATGTTGAATGTAGATTGTAGAATAAAGGTTTTAAAAGGTTTAAATTAATTAACCACCCTCGTAGGGGAAACGCTTTCACATGAGCTGAAATTACTGATCAAAATACAAGCTCATGTGACAGCGTTATAATTATATATATATATATATAATAATAATATATATATATATATATATATATATATATATATATATATATGTGTGTGTGTCTGTGTGTGTGTGTGTGTGTGTGTGTGTGTGTGTGTGTGTGTGTAATACCTAAATAGTTAATGGCCAGAGTTGAATCAGACCAGGAAACAGTACTTTTGAAAAGTGCTCAATACACGTGTGAAAGAATTAAATAAAATAAAAGTAAAAAAATAACATGTAGAGCTTTTTAACTTTAAATATCAGGAGGTCAGTTGAATCTGATACCTTGGTTTCAACCTTAGGTATATTAAGGCGATATTTATCAAATGACCTTTTAGCGCTTAAAGCGTTAAGAGGTCATTTGATAAAAATCGCCTGAGGATACCGTAAGGTTGGAAACAAGGTAGCAGATTCAACTGACCTCCTGATTTTTAAAGTATATATATATATATAATTTATTCGAAAATTATGACATAAATATGTTATAAAATCTCTACAAAAGTAGCCATTTTGTTTCAACACTTCTGCTGTCTTATCAAGTGATGGTATTAAATGTAGAATACATATACAAGTCAAATATAAGACAAAGGGGAAAAATTCTTTTCATGTAACGCGTTTTGTCCTTTGAGAATTCATCGGACGAAAGTGTGGCTTATGCTGATACAATTACGCATGCGCTGTGATTGACGAAGATGTGAAGCAGAAATGTTAAACTTAATTTTTTTTAACTTTTAAAAGAAGGTTTTTTTTTTCATTTTAAAAAATTCGTCTTAATATATAAACAATTATATATCTTCACCTCTTGTAATTTATATATATCATGTTAACGGAACTTAAAACCTTAAAACATTTTATTGAATAGTTTGGCAAATTCTTTTAGTCTCCTTGAAAAATTACCCTTGACAAAAACTTGTGACGAAAGGTTGACCTGGAACGAAGGATATTGAATAAACAATTTATAAACAATGAAAGGAAATGAAAGATTAGACGGCATTTAAAAGAATTTGTATCAAATAGGATTAGAGATAGGATTATATATATATATATATATATATATATATATATATATATATATATATATATATATATATATGTGTGTGTGTGTGTGTGTGTGTGTTTGACAGAAGGACAGACAGACAGAGAGACAGAGAGAATGAGTTTAGGCGTTTAAAGGCTTGACTATATTAATTTAAAAAGGTTTTCAGAATCATGGGTAGGCCGTTTGTATATACAAACTGTGTGGACATAGATTTAAACACTGCATGCTGACTGTCTGTTTCACACCTTAAACGCCCATCTACTTGGATTTCATTCTGTACATGCCATTGTTATGAGTCTGAAAGATTTTTCAGACATTTTAAACTCAAGTGCAACGAAAAACCAGCAATTAAGTTTAAAGTAGAATTTTTTAAACATCTACTTTTTATATAAAATAATTTTTTTTCAAAATGACTGAGCGCATTCTTTTTCTTTAAAAGGAACATCAATTTGTTGTTTCAGTAATAAACTAGCAGCATGGACCGGGGTTGCCCGTGCTTGATTCAAAAATCGTACGACTCATACAGCAATCGCTATCACTTGACTTTTCTTTTGTTCTTCCTTGCCTTTAAAGGAGTGCCCTTTGTCGTGCTGATGTTGCTACATGCCTTACTTCTTGCCTCACACTGCGAATTTTTGCTAAGCTCTATACTAAACATTAAATCTGTTACGAAAATGAACTAAACAAAATGAACACAAAACGATCAGCTTTAAAAAAGGACTCGTAACTGGAAAAACCGAATGAAAAAAGAATGTTAACAACAAATACTTTTTCACACCTAACCCAGTTCTGCGGAATTTGAATCAAAGTTGAGTTTAAGCAAGCGAATGAGCCAAGTGGAGTAAAGTGCCATGCAGATTTAAATTTTTCCCACTCGTGACGAATTCAGCTATCGATTTTTTTTTTTTTTGCCTGCTGGCTTGCTAGTTAACATTCGTGTCAGTCAGCTGTTGGCTCTCACGCTGGCCAGTAGAATCTTCCTGCCTATTCGTGGCTGCCAGTTATAGGCTCTCACTCTGGTCAGTAGAAAATAGCCGCAAACTACATGAAAACTGCCGTAGAAGCATGAAAAAATCGATTATTTCCACTATCGATGGGAGTTGGGAAATGCGACGTCGGTCTTGGCCTTCGCGCTAGCTTGGAGCATGTGCATGTAAATTTTGTTGCAAATCCGTCGAAAATTGCGACCGTGCATTCGTTACACACACACACACACACACACACACATCCTGCCTTTTATAGATAGAGATTTATTTTAGCCTTGGTTTCTTATTTCCCCCACTCCCATCATACCCTATTTCAGTTTCGCTGTTTGATTATTATTATTATTATTATTATTTGTATATTTGTTGTGTTCTTTTCGTTCAATCTTTCTGAAGCAGTGTTGGACGAAAAAGCTCCCTTTTGAAGAAAAAGAATGCTCTCCGTCCTTTTAAAAAACAATATATAAATTATATATAATTGCTTTAATTTACTCGCCATAGAGAACATCTTCTGTCTGACATTAGTATGACTGATGCTAACTTTCACGAGAGAAAATATTTGCCTCGTCTTGGGTTCCTGTTTTCAACTAGCATGAAGAGGAGTGATTATATTGAATCAATTACTAGAAATGCTGCTAAGAAATTTGGCTCACTTTGTTGTGTAAGATAGATTCTCGTCGGAATCCATTTTACACATTTATAAATCTACCATTCGCCCGACAATTTTTTACAGCTACCATATCTGGTCGGGTGCTTCTGCTGTACATCTTGGGATTCTTGAAAAAAAAAATCCAAAGAAGGTTATATAATGTAATCGATCCTGACCTGTTATTTCGACTTCAGTCACTTTCTCGCCACGGTGACGTAGTTTTCTTCTGTCATTTCTATAAATGTTTTCATGCCAATTGTTCTGATGACCTTTCCTCCTTGGTGCCTCGACAGCTTTAAGGGTGGTACTAGATGGTACTAAGGTAGGTCTCAAAAAGTTTTACTCTTGAACTATCTAGATGCAACAGTATGTTCTATTCTACAATTTCATCGTCATCTCTATTGCTAATAACTTTTCTTTTATTGTTCTTTCTCCTCTCAAAACTTTTCTCATTCTCTTCCACTCCCAGTAACCCCTTGTGGCCTAGTTTAATCATAGCCTAGCTTGGGGTGAAATGAAATATATATATATATATATATATATATATATATATATATATATATATTTATTTATTTATTTATTTATTTATTTCATTGAAGGTTTTCATATCCGTGAGATATATGAAAACCTTTATATATATATATATAAGTACTTTCCCTAAGGTAAAAAAAATGTGCATGTTCGATTTCTCTCAAAGGCACAAACTTTCTTTAGTAGGACTTCTATGGAGGCCTATTGTTATTAATTCTCTGTTTAATAAAATCAAATCAGGGATAGCAACTTAAACATCCGCACCCACTAAACATAGAGAGAGAGAGAGAGAGAGAGAGAGAGAGAGAGAGAGAGAGAAAATGTCCACAGTTCGTATTTTTTTTCCAATCGGATAAAGCAAATAAAATCGTGGCTTTTGACATTCAAAGGGACAACGCAACCTTGACGTGAAGACTGGACAAGAAATCTGAATATATATATATATATATATATATATATATATATATATATATATATATATAGAGAGAGAGAGAGAGAGAGAGAGAGAGAGAGAGAGGGAGAGAAAACTGTGGAACGTGAACGTCACAGTCGTACCACGTGATATCGAAGCATTGGGAATTGCTACAAAAAAATAATAATAAATAAACAGAATAAAATTGGTGAAACGAGAAATGTGGGATGAATTGAACTACCGAGAGGACTGTACTGCCAATATTAACTAGAATACTGACGGTAGTCTTGGAATATTTAGAAAAATTATTGTCACTTGATCTCCAGCAAAAAAAAAAAAAAAAATAAAGGTGTGACAGCTGTTTTAATAATAATAATAATAATAATAATAATAATAATAATAATAAAATATATCACTTATAGCATTAACCAGCCAACTTAAAGAATGCGGTTACAAAATAGCTCAAAAGAAAATAAACCATCTATTTTACATGGATGACTTAAAATTGTATGCTAGGAATGACAATGAGCTGGAAGGTCTTCTGCAAACTGTAAAAAATGCTTCAGTGAAGACATTGGAATGAAATTCAATTTGATAAATGTGCTAAAGCTACAGTTTTACGAGGATCGCTACAAACAAACTTCCTCTATTAGTTTAGACCCTGCTGTAACAATAAAAGATTTAGAACAAAAAATAAAAAAAAATGAGAGTGAAGGAAACCATAAGAAATGAAAGAAATAGTGCGTGAACTATAGAAGGGTACGACTGGTATTAAAAAACTGAATTGAATTCTCAGAACAGAATTATGGCAATTAATAACTTGCCATCCCAGTGGTCCAATATAGTTTCAACATCTGAACTGGACTCTAAATGACATCAGACAAATGATTCTAAAAAACAAGAAAGCTTCTTTCTAAGTATAAGATGCATCATCCAAAGGCTGATGTAGACCGTCTATACATACCCCGTAAAGAAGGTGGAAGAGGTCTTATTCAGCTAGAATTGTCATACAAGACAACAACTATTGGCTTACTAACTTACATGGAAACAACAAATGACTGGATGATAAAATTAGTGAAACAACATGAAAACAGAAAAAAAAATATTCAATAATAAAAGAAGGCAGTAAATACAAACAACATTTACATTTAGTAGATTCTGTAGTAAATCAAAACAGAAGCCAAGAACCAACTATTGCAGCAAAAGATATGAAAAAAGAAAGCCAAGGATAAAGCCCTTGAACAGATGAAACAACGCTGGCAAGAGAAACCTCTGCATGGCCAATATCCAGAACGCAAATAAACCCAATGTTGATAAAAGTTAATACTCATCGATGGTTACGAGCATGAAACTGAAGGTTTTATTCTTGCAGCAAGACCAGAGTCTTTTCACTAGGAATTTTCAGGCAAATATCATACATAATAATGTGGATCCAAAATGCAGGTTCTGACAAATACCAAGAAACAATAGACCATCTAATCTCAGGATGTTCTATACTTGCCCCAAATGAATATAAAAATCGTCACGATAGAGTGGGGCAATACTTACACTGGACAATGTGCAAACACTTTGGAAAATGTAAGCAAACAATGAACATCGGCCAGCGGTTACAGAAATAGAAGATGTCACCATTCTATGGGATTATACCATCCACACAGACAGAAAAATTGCAAATAGACATTATTAAAAAAAAAAAACCAGAAATAAAAAACTTGCCTACTAATTGATATGGCTTGTCCAGCGGATTGTAACATAGCAACCAAGGAATTTGAAAACTATCAAAATACAAAGACCTGGAAATTGAAATAGAAAAATGTGGAAATTGAAAACAAGAATAATACCAGTGGTAATAGGTGCACTTGGAATTATAAAAATGGAACAAAACAACACATTGAAAGAATCCCCTGAAACCCCAGCTTAAGAGACATACAGAAAATTGTCTTATTAAGATAAGGAGAAGATTTGTCTATGTAACGCTAGCAACTTCATCGGAGATAAAAAAAAAAAAAAAATTAACATGAAATAACAACACACCACGACCTGCCTTAGGTCTTTTCCGCAGACTTGGTAGGTAGTGTGTCCATAGCAGAAATCGAATGATGATGATAATAATAATAAATATAACGATGACGTGTGTAATAAACTAGTTTATTGCGATAAAGATATGATGGTGAAAAACTAAAAATAACTAGAATAATGTAGAGCGTTTTTTATGCTAGTGTTTGCCTAATAGGAAGCACGGGTGGAGTAATTGAGAGAGAGCCAAAGTTCGAATTCGATCCATTACACAATTCTCATTAACACAAAATAGTTACGTTTTGAATAAATACAAGCATAGATGAAAGATGAAAATGTTTATTTAGTAAAACTCATTCTTTTTCTTCTATATACCGTGACCCTTCATGACATAGGCGATCATGGCTCTCCACAATTTCCTGTCTTTTGTAAGTCTTTGTCTCTATCTCTTCTAAACCCTGTCCTGCTATCCAATAAAACCATCAGAAAGGCGCAATGAGATAGTGAAAGCAAAGTATTACGATGCATATTGCTGGACAATCTCATCACAGATGAAGAGGAGTCTTGAAGCAACAGAAATCTGGTTCTACTGAAAGATGCTGAATACACCATGAACTGAACATTTGAGCAGCGACAAAGTTTTAGAGAAAATGGAAGAATAAAGGATAGCTATACTTAACATCACGAAGAGACAGTTGAAATTTCTAGGGTACATAATGAGGTAGAAGGCTTGGAGAATTTGATACTCACATCACAGAATGAAGGCAAGAGGAACAGAGGAAAACAACGCATAATCTACCTGGCGAGCTTGTGTAAATAGATGACGGAACAAATTTTGGCAGACGAAAAGTAATAAGAGCTACAAAGGACAGGAAATTGTGAAGAGCCATGAATCAGGTGATTAGTATAAACCAGAACCTATGCCGACAGCAGACTGTCTGCAGACGGAGAGTAAGTGTATTGAGTAAATATACAAAAATAAAAATAGGATTAAGACAAGGATCACACAAATGAACTCCCATTACGCACTACAGACTCACCGGAGTGAAACAATTTAAATAAGATGGCGCCTTCTGAAACAACTACTTAAGCAATTTAAATACATTTTCAATAATAGTAGGAGTATAAAACTATTTTTTCTGTTTAATAAGTTAATAAGTAAAAAAAAAAAAAAAGAAAATAGCTGAAGTTCTTATTCCAAAATTTTTAAAGTCCTAAAAATGTTGTTCTTTTTTCATTTTACAGATTTAATAACATAATCGAAAACGAGACTGCTTAACGAGAAGATTTTTCAAATGTCTTCTGCTGCTGTCTCTTAACTGTCATCTTCTGTGTACCATGTCCGTTCAGTTTTTACTGTGTATTTTATTTACCACCCACCAATACAATTTCAATAATCTTCCTTTTCTCTCCCCCCACTTCTCTTACATTTCACGTTGTGCGTTTAAATATAAATGAAAAAGCTTTAAGAAAGCATTTAGCCCTTATCGCCTGAGGATACCGAAAGATTGAAACCAAGGTAGCGTGATTGGCTGATCCCCTCATTTTTTAAAATTTAAAACATCTGCATGCTAAATTTTTATTTTATTTTTTATTTAGTTATAAGTGTATTGAGCGGGTTTTAATGTAGATGTTTCCAGGTCTAATAAAACTCTGACCAATATCTGTTTTTTAATGATATATATATATATATATATATATATATATATATATATATATATATATATATATATATATTATAATAATTTTTAAAAATTTAATAATAGAATTAAATTAAGGTATCTAGTTCTGTTTCATCCTCAAGTGGTTGTTTAGTGAGCACTGTTTTTTTTTAAAATAAAACAAAATCACTAAAGAACTTCGGGTTATTAACCTAACTGTTCTTTTTCCTACTTTTCTTTTATATTTGCACCCCACACACCTATATATATACATATATATATAATGTATTATATATGGATTATATACCCACGGATTTTTTACCTTTACTATATATATATATATATATATATATATATATATATATATATATATTTTCCTAAAGAAGTAATGGATTTTATTTCGTAATCCAAATATATTTCTATTGCTTCAAACTTTATTTTTAGTGATTTCCGTATTTGAGTTGACGCTGTTTTTATTCTTAAACAAATTTTATTTCGTATACCAGAGATCCCATTTTCTTTAATATTTTTTGTAGATTGTGCAAATCCAGAAAACGTATAAAAGAAAATGGGCTCTCTGGCAGGATTCAGACTTTCGACCCTCTTTGTAGTAGAAACAATCATCTTTTTCGGTGTATTTTGATCGATCAGATACGAAGAACTTCAAAATCAAGCACGGTTCTAATTGCCCTTAAATTGAATAGGAAAGTATTTAACAAAGAATGGAAGATGAGGCAGCAAACTCCAAACGTTCATTTGAATATCAAAAGATGCTTACTAGTGGTTAAGCAAAGGACGAAGAAAAAAAAACTTCGTTAGAAACAGAAAAAAAGAATGAGACCTTTGCTGTAACATTAGTCGTCTTAGACGGCAGTGAGTACTGGGCAATTTTCCCACTGATTAACCGAAAAATAGCAGCAAGAGAATGTAGTTATACAGAAGGAAGGTGAGAATTCCATGGACGGATCGCATAAGTCGTGAAAATGTCTTAACGAAAATGTTAACAAATTGAACATACACTGAATCAGAAACAGACAGCTGAAATTTCTTGGACACATAATGAGAAAGGAAGGCTTGATGAATTTAACACTCCCAAGACATAACAAAGGCAAAAAAGAACAGTGGTGAGACAGTGGACAGTCTGTTGTTGATTGTTTTTAGCAGCATATAAACATCTCTATTGGTTATTTAATGCGGATATCTAAATAGCTTGAACACGATTTTACTGTTTCGAATAAAAATATTTTGATCGCAATTGTATGCCTTCAACTGCAGATAATGTAGTAGTCTTGGTCATTTTGCTATAAAATGTATTGTTAGTAATTCTACTATAAATAGGTATTGTTGGGAACTTTTTGATATAAAATGTTGCTGATTTTTTTACTATAAATGTGTATTTTTTAGTGTTTTGTTTTTGTTTGGTGAGTTCACTTTTTCCCCATATTTAAAACCCTAACAGGTTCCATGATCCCCGGTCATGGTGGACCTTGGAACAACATCAAT